TCTACCATAGGAACAAGAATTTTGACACAGAGATGAGGAATTGCGACTCGGGTCGAACTTAAGTCGATATTTTTAGGGACTTGCGACTCAAATCGGACTAGTCCCCTGAAGACGTGAGACTCGACTCATCCCTCGAGACTCAGACTTGACTTGGATTCCTGGGCACACTTGAACTTGTGAGTCAGAGACTGCTAGGTGGACAGCACAGAGACAGCCGACAAGAATAAGAGCAGGGAAATACATGGGACTTGTTTTCATGTGATTATAGATGTTGTCAGAACACTCTTCATGGACTTATTATTTGGGGGGTTGTGAACAAATAAGCATCTGTATAAATAAGCACTTTTCAAACCTGTATTAGTGTAAGGATATGTGACATTGTGTTCTGCAGGTTTGAAATACAATAAGTCTATCTATATTATATTTTGACTCCATCAAGTTTTAGAAGCTATAGGATGTGAAAAAATATATCAAAATAGATTAATGAACAGTTAAGAGTTTTTTCCCCCCACAGATTGTTGTTATTTACCAATCTTTATCCATCACACTTCAACACTGCACCATGAAAACTTTCTCTTATATTTACTACTTCCATGGCTGAGCTTTGGTAAACGGTGGGCTGTTGTCATTATGAAGTTGTTGAGGTACATATTCGTTTCTGTGTAGAAGTGCTGTGGAATTGTCACATTGTCATATGTGACGTCCCGTGGGCTCTGTTGAAGGCTGTCGCTCTCAGCTGCACACACACACGCAAACACACACGGAGCAGCTCTGCGTGTTGCCTGCAGCGCCCCCTGGCCGGACACATGAGCACAGAGCAGTGTTCGTGTTAATGGCAGCTGGAGCGTGAAGCCTGTGTCTACATCACGAGCCACAGGCGGACACTCAAACTGTTCAGACCTGTCAACTTCTGTCAGCTTCTGTCAGCTTCTGTCATCTGCAAGGACAATGCAGTCACACTATACAACTGTGTGTAACCTGATTTACACATGCACACAATATATACAGTTGCACTGGAAATATCTATATTTATTATGTTTTGGTGATTTTGAATGATAATGCAGAACTACTCAGTCCCTGTGTATTTTCGCTTTAACAAAATTCTCCAGATCCTGTAAATTCCTAGGCCACCAGCCGTAAACTGCGCATTTGAGATCTCCCAGAGTGGCCCAAGAATACAAGTTTTTTGTGGTCCCAAATAAGATTTAATGTTTGGTCGAAACAATCAAATCATATGTTGGCATTTCTGCTGGGGGATTCCGGTTTTACTTTTACATCAGTCATGTTTAGTTTTGTATTCGTTGCAAACATTGGTTAAATTTGTGTAAGCTCTCAGTCGTACAGGGATTAGTCAAAGCAAAGGAAGGTTTCTCACCAATCATCTGTTCTTAGCAGGTTTTCCCGTCATTTCGTCCTTAATCCAAACAACTTTTTCAAGGGAATAAAATCTCAGACCGCACGCTGGAGATTTATAACCTTCACCCTAATCCTGAGGCCAACTCATGAACACATCAAGGTCCGTTAAGATGTGGTAGGGAGCAGGTCTAACGACCCTACTATGGCTAACGATCCTAACTCACTAGCATGTTAGGATCGTTAGAAACAGACCTCTAAATGCTTTACAGCATTTTGAGTTCTGCGTCTGTTCCGGTCCAACTCCCTTGACTGTTTTCACCGACCATAATCCCCTCACCTTCCTCAATGTTTATTTATGTTTATGTATGTATGTGTGTCTGTGTGTCTGTGTGTCATAGCCAGATTAATCATCAAAAGGTAAACACCATATTCATATAAATGAAATTACAAAAATATATGTTGTATTTGTTCACCAGCTTTGTAATGGTTCACGCCCTTTAAGGGATCCGTATACATTTGTCAGAGCCTCTGACCCCACACTGACAAGGTCAGAATGAGCAAACATTTTGTGAGGTTAATTCATTGTCTGTTTAGACAGAAGCTGCTGATTGGCCACATCACAGATAAGCAGCAGGTGATTGACAGTGACAGGGGTTCATCCAGACGTGCGCTAATGACTGCTTATCACAATCACTATGTGCATGTTTCATCACCCGTAATATTGTTCTTTTCTTTTCATTTCGTCTAATCTGAGATTCTATCTTCAGATATGGACGGACTATTTTTACATTTTAGAATGGCAGCGGGTGAGTGACTGTGTTTCCACTATTTTTTCCCTGATAGAGCACCACTGTGGCAACAGACCAGACCGTTTATTAGGACTCTTTTGCCCATTTAAATGAATTAGCGTCGATACCCAATGCATTTAATATGTGCAATGGCCACCCAACAAGGTTAATTTGGTCTTCTGATAGATTCTTCAACTTTAAGACCAGAGTGTTTTTGATGTTGTGCCTGACAGATTGGACTGCTGGTCCTCTTCATCCTCAGAGTGGTCATGTGATCCTCCTGTGATGTGTCGGGTCAGCTGTTTGTATAGACTGTATAGTGACCCAGTGTTTGCGGAAATGGCCTATTTGAACACGTATCTAGCGGGGGCAAATTTCCTTTCTGTATATGAGCATTTGTTTAAACAGGGTCGCTTAGTCAAATAACAGGCAAGGCAAGGCAAGTTTATTTGTATAGCACAATTCATACACAACGCAATTCAAAGTGCTGAACAAAACAAGATAGCATTAAAATCATAAATAATCACAGTACATTAAAAAAAAGATAAAAATCCCTCAGTTGTTGTCTGATTTAAACAGGCCTGTCTCATATTTCCAGGGAGATTGTTCCAGATTTTAGCAGCATGAATCTGAAAAGCAGCCTCCCCATGTTTAGTTCTGACTCTGGGCACTAACACGAGTCCAGTCCCTGTGCTCCTCAGAGTCCGGGCTGGTTCATATGGGACTAACATGTCACTAATATATTTTGGTGCAAGGCCATGGAGAGACTTGTACACAACAGAGCTGTTTTAAAGTCTATTCTCTGAGCCACAGGAAGCCAGTGCAGAGACCTGAGGACTGGACTAATGTGGTCGTACTTCCTGGTTCTAGTCACGACTCGAGCTGCTACATTTTACTGCAGCTAAGATGGTGTTGCTAAGATGGCTGATAATGCAAGCTGTTTCCCCTGGGAATGAAGGACAGTGATTGGTCAAACCTTATGGGTCATACAGTATCTGGATTTACAAAGACAAACCACACACTTTTTAGTTAGTGCTCATGGTATTTATTATACATTGTAAGTGTCCTTTTTTTAGTTATTTTGCATGGCCCATTTTATTTCTTGTTTTGCTTGTCTTATTATGCAGGGGTTTTACTTTGCATCATTTCGTTTAGGCATAGCTAATGTACTTTTCTCCATCTGTCACAATTACCAACTTTTGCCCCTAAGTTCTGCATTTCTTTCCCTAAGGTCTGGTCCGGGCGTGGTCGTCCCTGGTGAAGGTTTGGAGTCTCACGTCAGTCCCCCTCACTCCTCGTATGTTGTGGTATTGTTGCACGCCCTCACTTGCACGTTTTCTTCAGTTTCACTTTTTGTGTGTATGTGTGAGTGTTCACGGAGCTGCAGTGGGTGCTCTGTCCCATAGTGCTTTACTGCCCCTGCCGTGTTCCGCTGCGACTGACCTGCCTAATGCAGTTTTATCTCAAACTAATTGGCTTTTAAACACTCTTTTACTAACTTTTGTAATTTTGTTTAACACTATTTGCAATCCTGAACCTAAAGTATCTAGCTATGGTTACATATGTTTTTTTTAAGGAGGTATGAAATAATTGCCCACCCCAGCTCTCAACGTCAACTTGCTCTATCGTACATGTGAAACACTATAAATATGATTTTTTTTGGTAAAAGTAAGTAAGTAAGTAAGTAAGTTTTTATTTATATACCGCCTTTTCACTGCAGATCTGAGTCTCAAAGCGGTTTACAATTGTTAATTTTGGGCATTTGTCTCTCACTCCACACAGAGATGGGAGCGGGGTCGCCAGTACAGGAGGCGCATGCCAGAACTATTGGACACATTTTTAGTGGTAGGGGAAACCGGAGTACCCGGAGGAAACCTACGCAGACACAGGGAGAACATGCAAACTCCACTCAGAAAGGCCCTGGTCCGACCGGGATTCGAACCCAGGACCTTCTTGCTGAGAGGCGAGAGTGCTATCCACTCAGCCACCGTGCCGTAAAAGTTGATACATGTATTTATGTAATTCAACTCATTACATGCAAAGTGATATATGCCAAGTCTTTATTTGTTATAATTATGATGTTAAAGGCTCAGAGTCAGAAACATGAAATTATAAGTAAGTAAATGATATCCTAATTTTCCAGAGTTTCACCTGTAGTGCTCTGTGATGGGAAAATGTCGCTCAGAGAAGCCAAACCGAGATTCAAACCCAGGAAGTCTATCCCCGCACCGCCCAAATTGTTTGCTTTGATTATGGCAACGTTTGGCATATTTATATGAATAGAAATAAAATCATAAACAAGGCAACTCAAAGAACACTACAATAAACATAACTTTGAACTGGCTTTTTATTATGCTAAAGATAGAGAATGTGCACTTCTTTATTATGCTAAAATCAGTTTTTGCACACATTATGCTAAAGATAGAGATTTAATACTTGTTAATTCTTCAAGCTAGAGTTATAGATTTTCATTTTATTTCATTTAGTATAGAGTTATTGTTCATTTATCTTGTGCTGTGTGCTTCTCATTCCTACTGTATGTAACTTGTGATGCAACACTGACATTTCCCCACTATGGGACGAATGAAAGATCCCTTAATCTTAATCTTTAAACACATTAAGGGAAACATTGTAACTTTACAATTACATATACTTTACAAAACAGCTTTCCCCATGCCATACTGACACTGTGAGTCATAGTTAAAAATATGATCTGCATGGATTTATCTCTAATATCCCCATTTCCCAACTTAAATAGTTCCTGTCACGTTATCATCCAACATCTTGCACTTGTCACAAAAACTAAATTCTTTGACAGGTGCTGGTCTGGTGTATTCTCCTGACAGTCCATATGTTATGTCTTTCTTCCTCAGGGGACGTGGAAACTGTCTGAAAGTCTCAACTCCAGGTGAGGAGGAGGAAATGAAAGCCGAGAACATTTAAACTCAAGTCCACCTCACATCTGCCCATCTCCGCGGTATAGACGGGATGATAGAGCTCCAGATGTTTCCTGGCTCATGTGTTTGGAGCTGGGTAGCGGCAGATGCTCGTGGCTGCTCAGGTGCAGACTCTCTGACAGATGGGAGCTGGTTGGCCCTTGCTCCAAGTCTGATGGCGTCTACGAGGATGGATGACTTCATTCTAAAGGAACAATTGGTCATCTCTCAGGCCGCGGGCGTTTAGTGATCTACAACACAGGCCCGTCTCAAGAGCACATGTTGTTCTGGTCGCGGTTACACGCCAGAACGACGCGTAGCAGCAATGGCGTCTTAAAAATCATGATCGATTCAATATAAGAAACATGAAATAATGTACATACTACACAGTATATTATTATACATTGAAGTAAATGTGCATATGAAATGTAACTTCTGTAATTCAACCTAAAATGTGGAACTAATATATGATATAGACTCATGCAAAGTGTCAAACGCCGAGTCTTTGTTTGGTATAATGATAATTTTGGCTTACAGTCCATTTACAAGGCGTGAGTCAATTATCAACATTATGACAAATAAATGGATGCCTGTAAATAAATGTGCCTGTTTTGAGACATGGTTTCACATTGTAAGTTGAATTACAGAAATAAATGGACTTTTGAACTATATTCTAATTTTCTAAGTTTTCAGTCCAACCCAATTCTTCTGCCTTTTCTGTTGAGTTCCAAATTGGGGCATTTTTCTCTCTGCATTTTGTGAATATGCCACCAGTTAAAAGATAATGCAGAAAGATGAAATGTGTGTCTACTGTATGCAAAGCACTTTGAGCTTTGTGAAAAACAAATTTATTTGATGATGAAGAAAATGATCTACATAAAGATAAACTAACAGCAATTGCACTAAAGAACAAGGCTTTGAAAAACCATTTTAACTATATAGAAAATAGCAGATTGTGTGTCCATCTTACAGGCTGCTGCTCTCTTTGTGCCAAAGCCCAAACGCAGTTCCACACATAGGCATTAAACTAATGTGCTGGGATCAGGGGCCAGAGCTCTCCAGCTGTCTGTGGAGCCGCGGAGCATGGCACGGGCCGCTAACACCTGCCTGAGACTGCTTCCAGCCCCTATCCAGCATCCTCCACTCTTTCCCCATTTAACTCCCTCTTCTACCCCTCACTCTCCTCTTGTGATCAGGATATTTTTTATTTCTTTGGGTTGAAAAAGGGCTCACAACTGTGGCTCTGGTCTTAAATTATGTTTTGTTTTTAGCAAGCAAGACAACTGAACTCCAGCCCCTATAACTTTGAATAGAGAGGTTGAATGATCTTGTAATATATTGTTTAAAGTCTCACTGCAACACAGTCCCAATCTTGAAAACAAGTTAGACTAGCAGATAACTTTTAATTTTAACGTCTACTCATGGTTTTGTACACAATCTGGCAAAAGATTATCAAAGCCAATGCAAGTTCCAAAGTGAATTTTTATACTACAAACTCCTCTTCCTCTGGTCTCAATCGACTGCATACGGTTTTTAAAAAGGGGAATTTGTACTAACATGCAAGCACTAGAAACTGCAAGTACCTGGAACAGAACAGAAGTTATGGCTCCACTAATTCTGTTATGACATTGACTGTTTGTAATAAGCTCAGAGCAAATGTATTTACCATATACCATTTCCAGCTCCACATAAAAAAATTAAAATCTTTTTGTTTTGCTCAGACCTACAGAGAACAGGTTGTCTTAAAGCAGAGATGGAGCAAATTAGTCCTCTGCAACATTTGCTATACTAAGTAAGTAAGTACGGTTTATTTACATAGCGCATTTTACAGACCAAGGTCACCCAAAGTGCTTTACAATGTTCAGAGTTCAGATATTGTTCCAATCATTCCACACACAGTGATGACGAAAGCGAGTTGCCGAACACACTGGACCATCAGCCCCAATCAACACCATCCATTCACTCTCTCATTTACATTCATACCTATTGTGCATGTTTTTAGTGGTAGGGGAAACCAGAGCACCCGGAGGACACCTACGCAGACACGGGGAGAACATGCAAACTCCACTCAGAAAGGCCCTGTTCCGACCAGGACTCGAACCCAGGACCTTCTTGCTGAGAGGCGAAAGTGCTATCCACTCAGCCACCGTGCCACCCACTATAAATCATTCAGTGTGTCTTGTTCTGGAACCACCTCTTCCACATTGGACAGGACTTTGTTTCTCACGCTGAACAAGCAATAATAGAACCAACATGCTAAAATCCACCAGTACTATAGCAGAAATAACAGGAGACAAGCTCCCATGATCAGATTTCCATGTGCTGCTGTGTGTGTCTTACCCGCTGTGGATGTAAAATCACTTCTAAGCTCAGAGCTGAACAGACACATTCACTAGGACACCAACACTTATTCCCGTAATTCCAAGTTTTACTAAAGATGTATTCGTGCAAAATGGGTGGTAAGCACTCCCGCTGCACAGCAAGAAGATTCTGGAGTTGAATTTCGTTCTGAACATGGCCTCAATGAGTGGAGTTTGCATGTTCTCCCTGTGTCTGCGTAGGTTTTCTTCAGATGCTCTGGTTTCCCTAGTAACATGTAGGGTTAGAGTTGAATACTGTATCTAACATTAGCCATGCAGTTTGAGCTAGCATTAGTGTATAGCTTTTATCTAGTGAAATCGCTATATTGTGACGACAAATGCCAGTGGTGACCAGCAAAGACTCCTGTACTGACTACAATCACACACATAATCATATTCATACCAATCCAATAATAGTTGCAAAAAGATTTTAATTTTATTTTGTGTACGATCTAGTGCAGCCCTTTTTATTTATCTTATAATAAATATGTGATAATACCTTTATTCCACTTAATCTTATCATTAGCCAAGCTTGAAGGTATTTTTTCTTTACAATTACGTGAAGAATCTTTCTAAAAATGTGTATACAGCAAAGTTTATCATGTTCGCGCCTGAGTAAAACTTTGCTTTTTGAGTTACACACAGGTGAAAGTTTGTGCTGCTCTCCTTTCTTAAATGCCATCACTTCCCTTTCAGCAGCGGCGTTAGCTCATATAGGCTTACATTCCCTCCTTGTCTGGCATTAGCAATTACCGCACAAGCCGAAAGGTCAGGAAACATTTTTTTTTATTAAAATCCAAACAGGGCCTTTGCCTGACTGCTCCAGTAAAATCTTGTCAAACATTTATTGGGAATCAAATGAAGCTGGGACAGAGCGGAGCCGTGACATGGTGACATTCTATTACCATGGTGAACCCAAGTCTCCTCCGCCATAATATGCCCTGATGGATCCTTCATTTTACATTTGCTGCAGCATCTGGGATCAAAATATGAAGTAGGATGTTGGTAGAGTCAATGTCTTTATTAGGATGACTTGAATAGAATGTGTTCTTCATAATAAAAATAAATATTGTACTGATAATTCAATCATGAGACATGACAAAATGGCAAATATCACAACGGGTGATTTGTAGACGGCATGATTCTCCAAACTATGCTCATAAGTCCTTGACAAGGAGAAAAGAGTTGACAGCTAACTCAACTGGCCCCTCTCGACATAGAGAAGCAGCGGCTCTTTTCCGAGGTGGTCCAGGTCCTTTCTGAGTGGAGTTTGCATGTTCTCCCCGTGTCTGCGTAGGTTTCCTCTGGGTACTCCAGTTTCCCCTACCACTAAAAAACAAGTAAAATAGGTGAGAGACAAATGCCCAAAAAAATCAAAATTGTAAACCGCTTTGTGACTCTGGTTTGTGAAAGGCGCTATATAAATAAAGATAACTTACTTACTTACATACTCTATGGGGGAAATTGATTTTGACCGCCTGTATCCACGATCTTGTCATCGTCGGTAATCGGTCATAGCTATGAACAAGACCCTCTCTACTGGATGAAAACACACAAAAGAACACACCAGAACCTTCTTTATAACAGAAGGTGTATAATAAATGTATATTCATGACATTTAATTTGATTATTGTTCATTTGGTTGGAACAGTGCATGTTAATGAACACATTGTCACCTTAGGCTAATTTGCAGCAACACAGTCACACTCACACACTTTAACAGAACCCAAAGCATCAGCGTTTGAAAGATTATTTGAAACAGGTAAGTAGAGTGGCTTGGAGGCAGTGGTTTGAGAGTGGACAGAGGCAGTGGTCTGAGGCAAGTGGACATAGGCAGAGACAGGCAGACATAACCTGAACACAGGAGGTGAGGTAAGTAACAAAGAATATCACAAAAGTAGAGATCAGGATCAAAAACGTTGCACTAACTGGTAGCAACAACGAATTGGCATTGTCTTCTTCCTTAGTTGAAGAACAAAATATACACTTTTTTTGTTCCTTTTTCAAACGTTTGTGTGCTTTATAATGTGGCTTCAGGCTTTTGATGATTCACTTTTCTTTACATTTGCTGAAGTATCACATCTTGGAAATTATACACATTGATTTGGTCTAAATATCCTACAAAACATGAACATTTCTTACCTCTGTTGAAGTCATCCCCGCAAATCTGTAAATTATCGAGGATTGTTCATATCAGCTGTTGTTCATGTTCTGTTCCTTTTGCACGCGCCTCTCATTTAGGCTGCAGTTACACGTCTGGCCAGAGGGGGCTTCGCGAGCACAAACATTGCAAACTCCGCAAGGCTCCTTTAACGGTGGTTCAGAACTGGCATTGTCTTGATGAGCATCTGGAAGCAGGTACAGTAGGTGGAGACAAGACACACTCAGAAGGGGAGGGGGAGAGACAAAAGAGAGCAGATCCTGACTCACTCACCTGAACTATTGTTTGTTTTTAGTGGTAGGGGAAAGCGGAGCACCCAGAAGAAACCTACACAGACACAAGGAGAACATGGATACTCATCACAGAAAGGCCTTGTGTGAAATTGGAATCGGTCTTTGCAAAAGTACAGCTGTTCTTTACATCAATAGTGGCTCAGTTGGTAGAGCATTGGCCTTTGAGCCTGAAGGTCGTGGGTTCGAGCCCACCATGAGACCTTCTCCACCAACTCCACTGCTGTCGTTGTATCTTTGGGCAAGACACTTAACCCACTTAGCCTATAAGGAGCATGGAAGTGATGTTCGCTGATTGCCTTGATGTGTATGTTATATGTGTATGCAACAAACTGAAATTTCCCCATTGTGGGACCAATAAAGGACCTGTTTCTAAAGAAAGTCCTGAGTTTGGAATCACATGTTTTAGTTGTTTCTGTATCAGGCTCATAAACAC